GGCAGGACGGGCCGGTGCTGCGTGAGGAGTTTCCCGGCTGCGCTCCCGTTCTAGACCTGAGCGCTGGAAATGCCTCTGGCTCCGGCGTGCCCGGTTTCTGATCCGCTCAGAAACTGAGCGACTTCACCTCCTCTTTGTGCTGGGCAGGATTAAAGGCTGCTCTCTTATTTTATTTTATTTTTATTTCATTTCACCCCCCCCCTGCACGGGAAGTTTTTTGCCCGTAGGAATGTCCTGAGAGGAGGGACGGGAGTAAAGTGTAAAGGAACTTGCAGTCTGGCCTCTGAATAAGGGAGCGTCTACAATACAAGTTTGTGCTTTAGTGAGGGAACAGGGGGGTTGGAGACTCCAGTGTTGGTTACGTTAAAGCTTTAAAACATTGAATTGTGAGAGAATTACTTGGAAGATGTTAGGATATTGTTTTGAAAATAAATGCTTAACAGTGAGAAGAAAAATAGAATGTGGTTATCGTTTCAAAATATTCCTGTTTGAGTATTTAACTTTTGAGTGTGGTTGGGATGAGAAATACTTTAATTCTAGAAGTATGTTGCAAAAACATTTGTTTATATATGTAGCTTAGTCACAAGAATGTTTTATATGGTTTCTCTGAGTATATGTACATGACCATTATATATTTTATACATTATTTTGTGCATTTTATAAGTGCCAAGACTATGAAGATACTGTACACTATATCTGCATTGTATAATGCCTGCAGCTAATTGTTTTATCCTGTGACTAAGGCACTTAAGATATGATGCCATATCATATCACTCAGAAAATGGAAAATTAGATCTGTACAACAGATTAGTATTATGGAATTTCAACTTCAAATGGCATTTGAACAGTGGTTTGCCTTTTACAGTGTGTGTATATTTGGTTTTGATATTGCAGATGCCTTTTGAATGCAAGACTGCTGACATGCTTTGAGGGCTGCCTCACCTTTCCTAACCATGAACAGTTCGAAATCACCAGGGCTCGCTGGATTTGGAATCTTAAAAAACACAACCTGCCACACAGAGAAGAAGATTTCGGTTTTCTTTTCAATCATCTTCATGACAGTGGGAATTCTGTCCAACAGCCTTGCAATAGCGATTCTCCTCAAGGCGTATCAGCGCTTCAGACAGAAATCCAAAGCCTCCTTTTTGCTTCTTGCCAGTGGCTTGGTTGTCACAGATCTCTTTGGCCACCTCATCAACGGAGCCATCGCGGTGTTTGTGTATGCATCGGATAAGGACTGGATTCGCTTTAACCAGTCCAACATTCTTTGCAGTGTTTTTGGCATCTGCATGGTTTTCTTTGGTTGGTGCCCCCTCTTCCTGGGCAGCGTGATGGCCGTTGAGCGGTGCATTGGAGTCACTAAGCCAATATTTCACTCTACAAAAATGACTTCTAAACATGTGAAAATGATGTTGACTATGGTATGTCTGTTTGCTGTTCTTATAGCTTTGCTGCCTATTCTTAGGTTTAGAGCCTATCAAATTCAAGCATCGAGGACCTGGTGCTTCTATAAAACAGAACATGTTGAGGACTGGGAAGACAGATTTTACCTCTTACTTTTTTCTTGCCTTGGGTTACTGGCCCTTGCTATTTCATTCTTGTGCAATGCTGTCACAGGAATTACCCTCTTAAGAGTCAAATTTAAAAGTCAACAAAGACAAGGCAGATCTCATCATTTTGAAATGATCATTCAGCTCTTGGCTATAATGTGTGTTTCTTGCATTTGCTGGAGTCCATTCCTGGTAAGAGTCTATCGTGTTTGCTGATTTTTAATGCACATCACTGTATAAAAGTTACACTTTTTTATCTTCAGGTTTTAAGGTGCTTTAGCTGTGATAACAGCTCCATTCATTCTTCAGTCTATTAATTTTGCAGCATGTGGTCCATAATGTATGTACCTTTGTATCTATAACAAAAATGGTAATTATTCTCCACTTCTGATCATGAGCAAAACAGATTGAGTAAGGAAAATATATAGGGTCTGTGAGGAATTTCTTTTCTAGTGCTGTGAAGCAGACAATGGTAGCAGAAGAGTGCCTAGAATAAATCAGAGCAAATACTGAGCTTGACCAAAAATTCATTGAAATCTTGGAGTGGTGAGTCTGTTTAGTCTGTACTGTGGTTCCTATAATTTTTTCTTTATGTTGGCCTGTTCCTTGTTATTACTACAGTTTACTGCTACTTGCAAACTGTGTTACGGAAGAACGGTTAGGAACATAAAAACTCTCCACTCCATTAGCACAGTATTGGGTGCTTAGCTTTAGAGTCATGTTAAAAAACAGTGGTTGGTAGTGGGTCAAAATAAAAATGTGGTTTAGACCTGACCAAGCTGGCTTTGTAAACTTGACAAATGACCAGCAAAGCTGCTCTGTGCAGTCAGTGTGCTTTCTCAGCTGTCTTGGCTGTACCTTAACACTGTTTGCTGTTAACTGCTGCCACCCTTTCAAGCGGGAAGTGTGCTCTTGTTAGTGTGTGCCCTGTCAGAGAGCACGGTCAAAGGAAGTGGGATTAGGATATGGGAAAGGGGTACGACAGCTCCTCTTGCATGATGACATTATAAAGCTGGTATTAACTGTCATTAGTTTTACTATAGTAAATGTGAGTGAAGAAAAGTTATTTTTTTACTAGGGAGAGGTAAAGTCACAAGTAATATGAAATCAGATTTTTTTTTTTCCTAGAAACAAGGTCCCGTAATTTTCCACTGATATGAATGAGGAGCAATTTAGGTTTGAGCTTATAAATATAGAAATTAAAATCTGAAATCTGAATCAGATCAAACTATATCTCATCTACACAGACTTCAAGGAGAGAGTCTGGATATAAATCTCTGTATTACTGAAGGACACAAAAGCTCTTTCAGTTTTGTTCGACACACACAGAATTGTCTCTTGCTTCACTAATGATTTTCTAGACTTGCTCTGCAGCATAGTTTAAATTCATGTTGGCTTGTCAGTGTCCTGGCTGTAGCGTATAGAGAACAAAGACACAAGAAGAGTATAGCAGTGAACTTGTTTCGAGTTCTAGACACCCAGTCACCTACTGAAATTTGTCGAGGGCAAGCCACAGAATGTTTTTTAAAAAAAGCAATTAAAATAATGATTTTATTTTAAATGAAAAAACAGTATTCTATCCTCTGCTGACATTTATTTTCAGCTAAAATAACTGTCCTTAAAGGTTGGAATGATTTTATTTTTATTTAAAGCCTTTGGGTGTCAAAAGAGGTATAGACTTTTTTAATTTAAAAGAGGCATTTCTTTTATTCAACATATAAAATAACATTAAATTGCAACTACTGTAGTTGTTTTTTTTTCAGTGCTGATTATTTTGTTTTGCCTTTCCATTTATATTAATGATAAAAACCATAGTTGAAAAAATCTTTACAATCTAATGAAATCACAACACTACTTTTGTTTCATCTAAGTTGTGGTTGACAATGAATTATTATTCCAGTTGCATTTTTTTTTCCCCCAAGCCTTGTCAGAGCTTGGCATTTTCATCAGCTGGTGGTAAAGAGCCATGAATGACTTCTTGCTTAATTTTCTACTTGGCAGTTCAGGGGAATGTGTTGTAGTGGGAGCTGATACACAGCAATTCTGGTTCATCAGGTGGGAAATCTGCCGGTGTGTTCCGGGCTCGTGATGCTTTGCTTCTGGATCTCTTCTGAAATAAACGAACCAAACTATTATGGAAATTAGCCTGGAAGTATGAAAAATAGTTCTGCAGTATGGACAAATGTACATTAGAAATGAGAAGCTAAGAAAAAGTTAATGTAATGTATGGTCTAGCTCTTGAAACAAAATATCAAGGAAGTGAACAATTACTGTTCTAAACAGAGAGTTCCATTGTTTGGGAAATGCAATAGGACAAGCTTGTTGGTGGTAGTACCTTTCTTAGCTTTTAGGATCCTAGAGTTTACCCTCAAAGTTAATTCTCTGAAGTACCCAGAAATTCTTTTGGTAGCATTGTGTTCACTGAATACAAACAGAGTGATAAGCACAGCGTTAATTCAGCACAGCTTTGTCAGACTGCAGCGGAGCATAGAGATGCAGTGGAGCACAGCCCTGCCAGGAACGTACTGCTAAAGTGCTACAATTAAGAGATCCAGAGTTTATCAAGACATATGATTTACTATGGATTGCTGATCCAGATCTACTCATCTAATTTGTCTGCAACCTCTCAGGGCTTTTAATTTGTGAAATTAGTTGTTTAGATTCTATAATCAGCATATACAAAAAAAATGTATTTCTTGAAGTAAATCTGAACAGGTGTTCATAGGTGAAATTATTTAGCAAAGTAATTATATACATACTTGTTTTACATTTATTTGCTTTTTAAACATTTTCTCAAAGCAGAATCTAGAAGTTAGCGTCAATCTTTGAATTGCAAACTTTACCCATGCTCTCTATCCCAAAGAGTATACAGAACAAAATGTTATGCGAGAGTGAATTGCCTCAATATAAACCAAAGGGATTAGAAACCAAACAAACCTTTGGAAGACAAAGCATAGGAAGGTGATGCATTTTTACCACATGTGGTTTGCAGATACAAGAGTTTGGATTTATTTGGTGTGACTCTCCATCTGAGGGTGGGTTAGCATTGTTTATTTTTCTTATGTTTTTAATCTAGTCTGGTGGTACATCAATTGTCATATGTGCCTGGCTACCAAAATCAAGTCTATCTAATACTGTAATCCAACTGCAGATTTACTTCACTGTTGGATTGTAATTTATTTTTTTTTCTGAATGGAGTGACTTATTCAGTTACTGTCCTGTTCTAAAATCACCTTTATATGACATTAGAGGCACAACACCCTGGATTGTTCTTTATGGTGTCTGATATGGAACTGAACTTGACTTCTGCACCTGCTCAGTGATAGTGAATTTATTTTGGTGCCTTTACATATCAGTGTATATGTGTGTGTATATATATATATATAAATAATGCTTAATATTCTGTATAGTAATATAGAATATTATTATCAATCATCATCTCTGTTTTAAGACCCCTGGAGATCTGGAGCGTTTTTCAGAAGCAGAGCCCATGGTTTGGCTCACGTGAAGCTCTGCCTGGGGCAGTTGGACAGGGACTTCCTTCTGATTTGTCTTTCTTCTAATTTTTTTCCTAAAGCTCCATCCTATTTGTTCCTAGAAAATGAGCAGGTTTTTCAAGTTTTCTGCCACTGTGTGTGGGAATCTAATCTACCAGAATGAGGAGTATTCCCTGTTTCGTCCCTTATGAGGAAACATTTATTTACTTTTGAGGAGTTGAGAGCAGGAAGGAATTCACCAAAAAAGCAACAAGTGGAATTTGTAAGTTTTCCGATATGTAGGCGATGATTTGCAGAGGCACATTTGTTCTGGAAGTCCAAATAATTTTGCTTTGATAAGGGTAATTCCAGGAAAACATGTTACAAAGATAGTAACAACTTCTCTGTGTAGTAAGGAACCATTTTTCATCCTTGCTATAGTCCGCCCTTTGTGAAGGATATCTTTGGCTGCATAAATTTGGTCCCTAGGGATTGGATTCCCCAAGCAAATGGTAGGGCTGGAGTATTTTGTGGCAAGCATCTCTGATGAAATAGATTGTTATATAAAACTGGTTTTTGGCTGTGACTTGACATCTGGCCTGTCATGAAACAGCTTGTTTATGGAACTGTGTTTGTATGAGCAAGTTCTGACTTCAGTATTCTGAGGGGCTCAAGGGATAGACATACTTTAAATTTTGGTTTTGGAGTAGCAAAGTGAACTCCCTGTAATTATAGACTGGAGGGGTGGATTTATCTACGGGAACAAATTATGATATGGAGAAACATTAATATTTTTCATGTGCAGAACACAGCCTGGGAAAAATACTTTTACATTTAAATTATTTCTGTTAAGATCTGGTTTTCATGCTGTTATCTGATTGCTTTCATTCTGGTTTTACCTCCCCTCTATTGCAAAAAATAGCTGCTCCTTCTGGTTTTTTTTTTGTGGTTTTTTGGTGGTTTTTTTTTTGTTTGTTTTTTAAAGACCTCAGCTCCTTATTTCATATAATTAAATCAGCTGCTATTCAGTTGCTTTTTTACTGCCTTAGATTAATTTCTAGCAGTCTCTTCTCTTGTCATCTCTTCCCTTTCCAATTTGTTATGCCAATTGTGTCTCTCTGAACTCATTCTGACTTCTTGTCCTCAGATTGTCTCTTACAATGAGGTTTGGTGGCTGGTTTTCATGCACCTAGGGCTGCAGCTGGGTTACAGTTCGCTGAATCACCCCAACCTAGGAGCTGCCAGAGCTGGCCTGAGTGGTTCTTCAGTGAATCTACTGGTAGGGGTGGCGAGAAGGGCAGAGCTGAGCTGACAGAGATGCTCTCAGTAGAATACCCCTACCCCAGAGCCCACCCTGCTCTGGTTGCTCCACAAGGCATTTTGGGTGCTGAGACAGGCTCAAGGTTGGTATGTGCTGAAGGAGGTCAGTGGGTTGTAGATCTTACACTAAATTCTAGGCCAAGTAGTTGAATACAGTAACAAGTACTTTGTTGTACAAGGCAGTCCTCTGTGCATCTCATCTTAGTGTTTTTTTATGTGTAGTCATGTATATGCTTGCACAGTGAGACTTTACCAGGAGTTCATACTCATTAACCTTGAAAGGTCTTCCTCCATTCCTGTTTTCTGTATACTTTAACAAGTTTAAATTTCTTTTATACTACCTTATGCTTATATGTGCAATGGGCATAATTTATGCAAGCTTAGTGCTTTATTAAT